CAAGTCCAATTCCCAATTACACTTAATCTACTGCTCAAACACAGTCTATTCTTCTAAATAAAATGCTGTAAGTTGTAAGCTGTTTTTAATAAAGTTTGTGAGGTCCCAAATTTCGTTGGCTGCTTTAATTATTTCCCATTCTCCATCTTTAAGCGATCTTGGCCTAAGTCCCTCATAAATGGGACAATTGGACACTATACACGAGTACAATTTTATTGCACGTTTAGACCAGATTCGAGGTAGAATTGTGACTCTCGTAGGAGTTATAATTCTATGAAAAGGATTCATTTAAAAATCAGGAGAGATAGGGACAAGTACAACTTCGAGTATTGCATTGCGTGACGGAGAGATTTCTTGTACGATGAGAAGGAGACGGTAGAATGCAACTAAGTTACGAACAGTTTCGATGCAAGATTGTAGGAGCATCGAATCCCGTTGCGTTAACCGACGCGTATTTTCTTCCGGGACGTAATACACTTTTCCATATCCATCGCCACGCTTTCGCGATGAAAGTCCGTGCATCGAGCCACTGGCGATGGTCTGCGCAGCGTACGCGTTGATACGCGTCCTACCGGAACACTTGATAGATTTCGTTGATGCCGGGAGCTTCCGTAGAAAATAGTCATCTTCCTATTACGTTAACCCGATGCGTAAATCATGATTAATACATCGCGTGCTGATCCTCGCCTTTCGCGAGTCTAATTATTTCGAAATAAGAAATTATGATTAGATCAACAGAAAATATTGTGTGTATAATTTAATTCGCCCTAATTAGGCTGACCTAACGGTTCACTAAAAATGCACATTTATTTTTTCGTAATATCAAAACTTTAGAATCGCAGACTTTCAATTCCATCCTTACTGTTCATGACTACTTGAAGTAATAAATTATAAAATCAACTTGACCTCGATCTCTTTACAAACAGTACCATTCTATTTCTTTTTTGCAGTCACTAAATAAGGATACTAATTTACTGCATATTTTCTGAATCCCAAAAAGGATTTAATTCTGAACAAATATTACATCGAATCGTTTATACGAAGATGATAATTTCCACAACGAAGAGATCGTTAATTAATACATGATTTATATTCATATTCTATTGTCCATTAGTTTGGCCTTTAAACAGGGGTTGCGTTCCCTTCCGTAACGCCACCACCGCGTATAATTAAATAATTAAGCGAGCAGTGGCCCAAGGCGTAGCCCCGAAGTTTACTTTCTAAGCTCGCTGGCATGTAACTCGCAGATATGGGAATTCGTGCTGCCCGCAGGGTACCAGCCCGAGATTGATGCAATCGCCATCCTTGGCCAGCGAATCTGGAGCACTTGACACACGCTGGACGTGCACACATCACCGTGGCTAGCTACTAATTTCGCGATGATTAAGTGTCAGCTGCATTCTGTTTCGTCATCGCTCCCCGGAGGGAACAATTTCGAGTCTAGTTAAAAACCGATAGAAACCCTCCGAACTATTGTTTTACTAAGAATGCGGCGGCGTGCCTTTAGAAATTCCAACAGATTACTGAAAATTATCCGGTGCTTTTTACGTGAAAGGGTTGTCAGTCCGATTTGATAATATTTGCCGCAATTGCTGGTTCAATTACGGCCGGATTCAAATAAAACTGGTATATCGCTGTTTCGATTCGAAGCTATTAGAACTCTATACGCGCCGTAAGTGCCCCGCGGTTTTTCTGGACAGTTCCGAGAAAAACGAGGCTTATTATTACAGAGAGCCGATCCGGCGAGTCCTAATTGTCAGCTCACCCGGTACGTAGCCCCTTCGGCGACGTCAAGAAACGCGATCGCCGCAAGAAATCGCATTCTGCCGTTCTTCGATCGGGAACGAATCGAGGCTCGCTCGCGAGGACAAATTCAGTGGGGAAAAATGCGCGGACTGGACGCATTAGAAATGAGCAGCTCGCCATCTGTTCGCTCGTTACGAGTGATTCATCATACGATGATTCGCCTCCGAGGAAAGCGACCGAAGATGAAAGTTATTTTCACTTCGAATTGAATATAATAATTAGATCTCCGACGTCATGATACACAGACAGGGTACATAGTTTAATAATAATCGATCAATTTTTGTTTAATTTTTTTTAAGAAATAGTATATTAAAAGTGATCAATGATATTACGGCGATGAGTTAATAACTCATTTATTCCAGGATATTAAATGATCGTTTGACCAGTTGAACACCTGCTCGATTTACGACGTGTAGATCGATTCGTTAACGAGCCCCGCGATACAATTCTCGTGATTTATTCGTCGCTTTAGCGTGAAAAATACAACTCGTTTTTTCTATCAATTATTACTTATCGCCCGACTTCATCGTTATTACTAAATAAATCCGATTCTTATGAAACCTGATTAAAAAAGAGAATTGATAGTTGCTAATTAAAGTCCTTTAGCTTCGTTCACGAGTCCTGTTTAGTTGGCCGGAGGAGATTAATAGCGAGAACGGTAATTTCCAGATCGTATTCAGATGGCAGACGTTCAACTGAGAGTTTAATCGGTCTGACTCATAATATCTGACCGATTTTATCTGCATAGAACGAGATTGCTTAATTCTGGTGTAGCGCGTAGCTTCCTCGGTTTCCTCGTGCGCCGGCGTTACCGAACCGCCTAATCACGACGTAAGATCGGTTTTCATGATTCCATGGGAAACTCCGCTCGCATTTCGAATTTCTGTTAGATCAGCAGACCGTGAATTTCTTTCGGGTCATTTATCGTTTTGCAATAAAGCCGATCCACGAATCGAACGATAAATGGAAAACACGTGCTCCTTCTGTTACGCAAACAAATTACTAATTGAGATCTTGTGTAATTATATTAAAATCCGAAGTTACGATTATTTCGCGTAATAATTTCATGCCCGATTTCTCTCTGATAATTCAATGAAACCCTAAATTAGATCTAACCGTTACGATAGCGTTGCTCATTAGCAAGTGATCGAGCTGGATTCGAGTTAACTAGCCAACGGAGAATTCACTCTCGACGTTTTGCTCGTGCATTGTGAACGGTATAAAAAAAAAATCGTTCAGTTTGAAGTAATCAGGAAACGAGGAATAATGATGTTTTAGGTCATTAAGCGCATTTACCGATTGCGTATATTTATCATACCTCTTAACAGTGATATATCTTTATTTATATAAAATATAAGATCGTTCTTGGCAAAATTCTTGGGAATGGAGAGGCGAGCCACACTGTTGCAAAACAGCTGTTGCTGCAAAGTTCTGGAGCATAAAACGTTCACGGAACCGTAAACTACACGAACGTTTCATTTTTATTCGAGAGTAAATCGAAATCAGGTGCGGTAAGAGGGATCGTTAAATTTTGCAACTGGTCCCACAAATTCCTATAAAAAGTTCTTTTCCTTAAATTATTAATCATAATCTATTCTATAAACGCATTTATTTCTGATGTTACGTTGGTCGTTTGAAAAAATAAATGTAATGCAATTGTGCAAAAGTTCTATGTTGCCAATCTGTTGACAAAAAAGTGTTCTCCAGAGGAAAACTCCGGAGGATTCGCAAGAAAACTGGCCCGGTTCCCTTGCATTCGTGGAAAACAATGCGACGTTCCTGGGAATGATGGTCTGGCTTGGAATAGGCGCCAGCGTTAACGAAACGCGAAATGAATCTGGCCAACCCTAATTAGTCAACGTTTTGTCTATTTTGGTGATTTTTGTTGCACTTTATGCCTCGTTGCATGCGCAACTCGAGTTCCTAGCCTGATTCCACTGTTCTTACTACATTAGCTAATTCGACATATTTTATATACATTCCTGGTTGAAAATGGAATCTCAGAATTTTTGTTAAGGACTGATATTATTAATTAGGGAGTGACTCGATTGTTTGCATTGCTGGAATTAAATCCATTTGAACGTCGAATTATACGACTGTAAAAAATTTAATTAGAGCTGGAATTCCATTGGGAATCTTCACCAATCAATAGCTTTAAGCGATTTCCAGCGTGGTGGTGAAGGATTGGCTAACATTCTCCCATGTAAAGGGTGGCCAGTTTTCTCGATAAGGTGATCGCTCAGGCCAAAGGTAGCGTGAAAAGTCGTTTTAAAGAAACCGTGCCAAGGTGGAAACTTCGAATCGGTACAACCTTCGTAAATTTGCAACTTTTTTGATAAGAGTCTCTCGTTTCTCAATCATTTCGAGAATGATCATTCGAGAAGGTCTAAAAAATTGTCAAGCTTCACTTAAAATCATTTGAATTTATTTCGCTTGCAACACTTTTCTAAGTAAGGTGCCCATCGATGATGATATTTCTCTGTGAAACGTGTAAACTTTAGACAATGTAGAGTCACGACCCAGAACTAGATGCGTTTACGACTTTACTTGGACTCGGTCTCGTTGGGTTACAGTAGGTCGGCATTTACAACGCTTACGAAATTGGCGAGTCGTAAAACGTAGCCCATTAGCAACGCGAGGGATAATTGGGATAAATGGGGTGGGAGAGACGAAAATTGTGTTTCGCACACGGAAACGTACTTTTTTATTCTAATGTTACAATTGCATAATGCGCGGATCAAAAACGTGTAAAAGGAATTTCGTTGTAGCTGACCGAATCGACGGTAACTCTTCCAACGGCGCAATAAATTTAGATTTCAAAATATTTTATACTTTTGTCAGGAGACCTAATATAAAGAATCATTACATTATTCTATTATCTCCATACTTTTTCCCAGGTAAGAATTCAGCGAGTGACTAATTGCTGTTCACTAAGCTTGACCACATGGAACAGTCCGATTCTCTTTTTCCAAATTCAATTAACCGTGGAACGTTCTAATTTTGTAATCGAACTATTTTCTGTCGCACGTAATGGTTTTATTCGAATCGGCCGAGTTTTTAATCGAGCATCACGTAACAACGGAGGAAAAAGAAAGTCGGGGCAAACGGCATCGGGTATTCAAATACTGATAATAAATTCAAATCGTTAAGAGGTAACGAAGCACGTCGGTAGGAAAAACGAACGGCCAAGGTAGAGGCAAGATATCAGCGGGAAATTTCGTAAAATCCTCGATGAAACCGCGCGTTCGATTGCGATTCGCGTTACGTCAATCTAGCCGGAAGTGCTGTACAATTTTTCTTTGTGCAACCTCTTCAGTGGCCGCTGCCTCGAGATGATTGAAACCACAGAAATTAATTAATATTCATACTTATTATTAAAAAATTCATTGATTGAATCCTCAGAAACGTCAAAGGATGATCAATAGCCTTCCGCAATTTACATAACACAGTATATAACATTAACAATGATATTAGAACAAGTGAGTAGTAATTCAGTCATTCAAGGGAAAGGCATGACGAATTTCTCGCATGATTTCAATCCTTTTTTCGTCGATCGAATAGAACCGTAGCGTCGTTTCTAAACGAGGTCAATTACACGTTCAACAGACGACAGGACGCTTCTTCGTGAAATTCATCTATCGGAATAATTGTAAATTTTCGAGGGTGTCATCGCAGGCGGAAGTGTAACGATTCTGCGGTCAACGGAGCACCGAATAAGGGGTCCGAGAGGGTCGAACGCTATTGGTGAAAGGGGTCCGTATGCAATGCAATCGTCGTACCCCCGCCTGATCCTGGTTCCCTGGGCCTGGGCAGGGCACCGCTATAAAAGCATACCGCGTCGACCCTCAGATACGTAGTGTTTTCCCGTGTACTGCACAAGAAAAATCACCCACGATGAAGTTCGTCGTAAGTCTCAAGTCTCGTTTACGTTTACTTCGAACCATTTCGTAAAACATAATCGGTCTTTCTACATTTCTGATTTTCCAATGAATTAAATACAATTTCTTGGTGCAGATTGTTCTCTTCGCCCTTGTGGCTGCAGCTAGTGCCTACCCTGGCTATTTGCATGCACCGGTGAGTAATATATACATNCAGGAAAATGCATAGCATAATTTCTAAAGGATTATTAATGAATATTTGAAATTTTATTGTACATAAAAATCCAGAGTTTAATAATAACATGAAATAACAAAGTAATTTGTAATTAGCACTGACTTCGAACGATTACTACACGAAGCTCAGTGACCTAATCATAATCCCACTGTTTCTAAACTCTTCTCTTTTAGTTATTTACTGAGACCTCGAGTCTCATTGGGTGGACCTCTTATCTGTTCTTAATCTCCTCTTCAGAATTTATTCTCGTCTCGTTTATTGTCTTAATCCACTGTGTTAATTCGACGCCTTCTGCGGCGTCGCCCTTTGGCAACCGAGAAACTGGACACGCTCGGAGAATAACTAAACGTAACCATGTTTCGATATTATAGTTCACGTATTCGAAGGATTGAAACGAACGTTTTTGAAATAATTAGATCGCGCAGCCATGGCCAGCGCCCCAGCCTTGGCCAGCACCTTCGTATTATAAGGTTGCTGCAGCGCCAATAGTCAAGGTATCGGCACCGGTAAGGTAACGTTTAAATTAATTAAAACCGATCTCATCCAATCAGGTAATTCGCGATCAGATCATAACATAATAATTAGGAATATTTATTTCTCTTTCAATTAATTCTCACACTTGCACCATCGTTTACTTAAAAATCCAACTCGATCGCAGTTTCATCATTGTAACATAATGACTCCTCGATGGCGATTTCTAATCTCCCGTGTTCAATAATCTGCTTAACACGGAGCGCAAGTCATGGGTCATGTAACTTAACTTTCCAGTCCATCTCAGGACAGAAACGAATCCTCTCGTCATTTAATCGAACCATATGGTCTCTTCTGTGATGAAAGTCCAGCTGACCGCTGGCAGACTGTTCTTCTCAACGTCGTTACTTCCCAAATCATTTCGAACGTACAATGTATAATTCTTCATAATTAATTCTCCCACGAATCTACAGATTATTAGGTAGACTGCGGATTTTTCACGATTATCAAAAGCAGATTGTAATGTTTGAACAGTGAAATTTAATGTGCAATTTAATTGAACATAAAAATCCGCAGACTGTCATGTATCGAGTGTGTCAGGCGTTTGATTGAGACAGGAGAATTTTGGCTTAGGTACACGCTCCGGAAGTGCACCAGGTGCTGCAGATCCCGCAGCAGGCGTCGATCCCGGCGCCACATCCCCAGCCCTTGAACATTAAGATCCCGCACGTGCAGAGCGTGAAGATCCCGTACCACTCGGCGGGTATCCCGCACCCGCACTTGATCGGCGTCGAGAAGTACGTGGAGCCCGTGAAGATAGTCAAGGCACCCGTCTCCCATCACCCGTGGGACTAAGGTTCCGCTTGGCACGAACCGAACCCGCCGGCCCAGGGCGATCCATCCTGGACAGCCGTCCTGAGGCGAATCCGGAGTAGCGACGCTTTACGAACAACCACGGCCATTATCGAAATTCCCCTGGCGTTAAAGAAGCTCAGGATGATATACATTTGAAGGTGCAATCGTCGTCAGAATAAATCGGTTCTTCGTTTCGAGGGAAAAAAATTGAGGAGAGTCAGAAATTGAATCAGTATTATCCATCGAACGGAGGGCGAGGTACGTCGAGCTTGCGAAAGTCAACTGCCTCAGGATCGGCGAGATTTTTGACACCCGAACACCTCCGACATTCATTCTTGAAAGCAGCTTATTTTGCATAATCATTATTGCGCGGTTTATAAAAATTGGCGGCACGTGGATACGAGGAAGACAACGGAGGAGCCTTCATTGTATATCTTCTTCACTTCTTTCCGCCCATCCCTCTACCCCCAAATACATTCTGCAAGATCACTTTTATTTATTTTCTAATAAAAGTTCATTTTTATGTCTTGTGATAAAAATGATACTCTCCCTTTTGTTACTTTATTCCACCCACCTTTTTCAATCTTTTTCGTATGAAACTGGTATCAGTTCGTTTGTGACACACGACGAGCCCCGAGGAGGCTGTATCTCCGAAGTATAAAATATAAAAAATAAAACATATTCACTAAAATTACGTCGATTTTAAATAATAATTCATAATACAATATAAATAAGTTTTGTACAAATTTTTATTTAAAACTGAAACGCTATATAATTTTTCGGACACATGTCATATTCTTGGTTGTTTCGAAGTACATACGTGTACACTAACTTTCCTCGAGTACTGCTAGTGGTTGTAGGTATATACCGTGTGTCTCTGATACAAATCAATCTAATGTCGCCAGGGTAACGACTCGTCCAAACAAAAACGTTCAGCCTGTCTGGCATTATTTTCCCAGTGCATCGCGCTGGGAGACAGGCGGATCGACCAGCTAGCTCTGCGACCACACCGATCGATCGTACTGAATTCTCTAGTTCTTTTTCGAAACAGTGTGCGAATTGATCGGATTATCGTAACCGATTAGATTGCCATATGTAACTGAGATAAGAGAACTTTTATTAAATGGAAACATGGTATCGCAGCGAACGTGTTCTCTATTATTAGAGTGCGGATTCTTTAAAAACGATCACTATTGCACCGTCGTAATTCCGCCAGTTTACGACTATTGTTACTCGACGTTGCGCAACGAGAAAGCAAAAATTCTAAATTACGCAATCATTTACAGAAAGAAACTTGGAAAAAATGATTCACTATCTTCGATCGAACAGTTAACTCGCCTGACTTCTGAAATTCAATCAACGTTTCAATTAAAGAACTTTCGAGACGTGAATGAGTTTTTTAATACGTTTCCGGTTAAATGGAAGATAGATCGCTGCTGGCGATGATCCGGTACGAATTTCCGTGTTCATCGATCAGTCATCGTACCATTAATCGTCCGTTCTCTATCCTGCATTTCACTCGGTTGTATAATCTGCCTGCGTACTACCCGTAATTTAGTATAATAAATTATCTCAGAGAAATTTCCAGCATTACGCAAACGCGTAATTAAAAACTGTTCTAATCAGATTGGATGCATTTACAGAAAAATGCGCATGCAACGATACAGAAGTTCCTATATGAATTTTATAAATCATCTAATTTTATTGAAAATAATGTAAAACTTTATCTTTAAACGATTTAGTAAACGTACGCTAACGATGTGTCAAGTGTCGTTGGATTCGACGTACCGAGAGAAGGGAAACTGTTTCAGGGAATTCTAGATCGCAACTCCTAGCAACTCCCTGAGGCGTTATTGCGACGGAGTGCAATTTTTCAGGCGAATTTTTTACTGCCTGACCCCAGGGCATTCCCGAGTTACTCCGGCCACAGGAATAAATAAAAGACACGTGTACTTTTTGCTATTCAAATTACTTACGTAGAAACTGCAATTAGCATTTCAAACGTATTAACATGATTATTTAAAAAGACCTCCTCATGTTCTCTGATAAATAATGAGTACTACGTTGCTTACTTCCGGACGAGACATCGATTACGTTACCTCAATTTCTAGGTAGCCTCTGGAATAACAGTTTAGCATGATTGATCACGGTCAACCCAGTTCTTTGAACAGGGCTGAGGAATTGACAAGACCAAAAGCAATGATAAATTATTTAAAAATAGTTACAAATAACAAATAATTCTTTTTCTAATTGGAGGAAATTGTCACTAGATTTTATACATACTACTACTGTTAGATAATTCCTTAAAAACGATTCTGCAAATGAATAACGAGGCTGCTACTTTCACTCAAGGAACTGTTATATCACTGATACAAAACTGCACGATGGAGTTATAAAGACCTTTATTTAAATTCGAATCCCTTCCAATGTCTTCATTCAGGCATTGCGTAAAGCTTAACGCGAGCTGACCACGCTGATTGCTTCTAAATGAAATTTCATTTACATAATTTTTCCATATAAATTTTTACAATTCGTGCATGCGAGACGGATGTATTTCGCACGCAAGGGTGTTCGATTCTTTCCGTAATGAGAAACAAAC